AACAGCCCAGGTTTCTGGCTCCATCTTATGGCCGTTTGAGGAACCACACCCAATTACAATTTTAGCATTTCCTTAAAGAGACGGTATTAAAATGTCTATCCTGGTTTATATATTTTCCAACCCAACTATTAGGTGACTTACATTCCTAACATTCTCCCCTTTGGGTAGGACAATATATACAACCTTACATTCTAAGTCCATAATCCTCACAGCAAGCCTTATGCTTTACAGAGCCTTGGGCTCTGGTCCACGGGATTTAAAATTATGAGTTTGGTGGTCCCTGAGGTCCAAAAGGTTGGCGACCCCTGTTGTAGAGGGTCTCCCACTTTGACCAGAAGTTTAAACTAGAAGACTGCCAATTCTGAAATCCTGTTTATCTTTAGGGGTAGGAAATGTTACCTTTGTTACTTCTGCAGCTTTTAAAGCCTTTGATTTAGAGGAAACCATTTTAGAAATGATCGAGTATCAGTCCCAGTTCTGGGCTTGGAGAAAGCTTCAATGGTTCTGCCTTAAGTGCGTATCTCTTCCATAGTTGACCAACCGTCTTCTCTCCATTTGTCTGCTTTCTTTCATCAGTAAAAGGTTAACCTGGAATCCAGAAGCTTTATTTTTTTAAGCTTTATTCCTAGTCATCTAAGCAACGATTCGGCTGGCAGGATGGGTCCTGGTGTCTATAATATCAGACACCAACTTGTCTTCTAAGTGGTAGAAAGCTAATGATGCAAGGTAAAGCATGTGCTCAGCAGGGAGAATAGAAGGATCCTTATAGGACTTCCTGTTTCCTGCTGAGACAATGATCTTCCTGTTGCACAGGAATTTGGGATTCCTGATTTTCTACCTGGAAAAGCTTGACTTGATGTGTCCAAAGGGATTTCATGCCCAATTAGTTGAATAAGCTGTGAATCTCCTTTTCCCAAATCAGTGTATTGGTTTTATTTTGTGTTAGAGGAGATACAGGAAGTCCTTGACTTACAGCCATCGTTAAAAACTCTTGTTCTTTGTTGAGTTGGCCATGGCAAGCTAGAATAGAATAGAATAACAGAGTTGGAAGGAGCCTTGGAGGTCTTCTACTCCAACCCCCTGGTCAAGCAGGAGACCACATACCAATCTCTTCTTAAACACCTCCAGTATAACTTCTGGAGGCAAGTTGTTCCACTGATTAATTGTTAATGAAGGCCATCAGAACTTTGAATCTAAGTCTTAAGTATCTTTAGAGGGGGAGTTATTGTAACTTCAAACAGTTACTAAACAAAGTAAAGGACTACCTGTACAGAAAAACATCTCCCCAGCCAGAATTTCCAACTAGGCTGGATTTGAAGCTCCCATGATCCCACAGCCAGCATTGTCTTTTCAGTGATTCACCCGAGGTAGAAATATGGACAGTTACTCTTCTGGCATATTTGAAAGGTGGCAGAGTGCGGACAACTGCAATAAAGAATGTTTTATTGCCTTCCATTACATTCACCTCTTGTACGGGCTGAATCAACCAAGAGATGGTTATAGATCTAAGAGTATTGTTTTTTGCTCTTCTTTGTAAAGACAAGTTTGTACTTTTTTTGGAACCATAAACTTTTCAAAGCCGAGACTTAAAGGAGACAAGTTGCCCTTTACTTCTAATAAAGTAGCCATTTAGTTTTCATAAAAAAAATTTTTTTCCTACAAGGCAGAAAGAGAATGTACAAGGTGCTCTGTGGTTTAGAAAGATAATTAATAATAATAAAAAAAGACCCATGTGTGGTTGAGGATGACAACTAGTTTAATATCGAGAGGAAAAGAAAGCATTGGAAATTGCATGGCTAACAGGAAAACCTCCACTTCATCTGAAGGCTGGGCTAGCATCTTGTAATTACTCCCCAGAGAAGGAATGATAGGTTAGTTACTGAGCTGAACTTACATACCTTCTATGAAGTAATATGTGGGTTATTGTCTCTGTTTATTTCCTTCCTTGATCTCTGCTGTGAACCCTTAGCAACATTCATCTGGCTCTGTGCAAAATTTAAATTAAATGGGTTACTTTCCTCCAGATGCACTGGTTTTCCCCAGCACCATTTCTGGCTTGTGTTTTCATTCCTTGCACATGCACATGAGTGCGTATGCACACACACACACACACACACACACACACACACGCACGCACGCACATGCACACTCGGGTCTAGGTAAAAGTGCTGTTAATTAATCATCTTTTGTGGAGCATGTGCATAGAGTCTCATCTTCTTCATAAAAAGCTGCGCTTGAGAAAAACACAAGGATAATTCGTTACAGAGTGAGGTTTACAATCACACACGCAATTTCCCCGTCAGTTTTACTAACACACCGCTGGTGTAAGCCTCCAAAGAAGGTGCAAAATGAATTGAAGGGGCTAAATATTACAGTGAAACGTGTCTGTCTGATGCTTTGTAAAACTTGGAAAACAAAATGGAACAATGGAGGACTCCCTGTGTGTTGACTTTGGCCAAGTTGCTTATTTATTTATTAAGTGTATTTGCTGGCCATCTCATTTCAAAGTAATCCTGGAGGGCTTATAGCAGATCACTGTCAAAATAGATTCTCAGAGGTTCACAGTAGGTGGTTAAAGACATTGAGTTCATCAGCTGGAAAGGTTTGAAACCTGAGCACCATTGGACAGGGTAAGCTCCTGTTCCTTGCTCCAGCTCCTACCCACCTAGCAGTTCGAAAGCATGCAGATGCAAGTAGATAAACAGATACCACTTCGGTGGGAAGGTAACAGCATTCTGCATGACTTTGGTGTATAGCCATGCTGGCCACATGACCATGGAAATGTCTTTGGACAACACAGGCTCCCTTGGTCAAGAAATGGAGATGAGCACTATGCCCTAGAACTGGACATGACATGATAGGGGAAATTGTTACCATTTTTTAGTGTCCATTGCATTGGGCAAAAGATTAGGTTACCAAAACTTAGAAATGGGATTATTTATTATTTATTTTATTTAGTTATTCTTTTTCACCTTGGTCCTCATTTATTAATGAGTATATTAGAGTGGGATCTCCCTAACTTGTTTGATTGTCTTTCTATCTGGTCTAATGCAGAGGATGCTAATCGCTTATTTATTTATTTATTTATTTATTTATTTATTTATTTATTTATTTATTTGATTTGCCAATTGTTTACAAGATAATAAGTATAAGTGTATACATAGTTGTGAATACATGAAATGGGTACATATAAGAAAAATAAAAGAAGAATAAGAGAAACAATAGGTCAGGGATGGTAGGCACGTTGGTGCGCTTATGCACGCCCCCAACAGACCTCTTAGGAAAGGGGTGAGGTCAATAGTAGACAGTCTAAGGTTAAAGTTTTTGGGGTTTGGGGAAGAAACTACAGAGTCGGGTAGAGTATTCCAGACATTGACCACTCTATTGCTGAAGTCGTATTTCCTGCAATCAAGTTTGGTGCGGTTAACTTTGAGTTTGTATCTATTGTGTGCTCTTGTGTTGTTATGGTTGAAGCTGAAGTATTCATTGACAGGAAGGACATTGCAATGTATGATTTTATATACCATGCTTAAATCAGACCGAAGACGGCGTAATTCAAGGTTTTCTAGTTCTAGAATTTCAAGTCTGGTGGCATAAGGTATTCTACAACGAGTAATATTCTTGTTCTGCAAAGTTTCGGATTTGCATTTAATTTAATTCCCGGGGTTAAGATCTTTATCCCAATTCCATTTCAGAATTCCAAACAGTCATTCAAATCATGCAAAACTGAAACCCAGATAAATTCATTTTTCCCCTCCTCTGCTTTTTTAGATTTTTCTCCTCAGTTTCTATTGTATCATCCACATTTTTATGGCGATTCTTTATGGTTGGTAGTTACGGATGGAGCTGTGATGACTTGCAGAATAGGACAGGAAACCAAATTAGTCATTACAAGCTTAAGTCAGCGTTTTATGGAAGGAGTAAACCTTGTGAACTCTTTCCTTTTCTCAAGTTGATCACTTGAACAAAAGAACAAATTTTGGCACACACCATTAATGATGAGAAATGGGTCCATCTGCTGATTCTGAGTTTGCCAATGTGTCTTGTCATTAAGCACTCTTTGTCTCTGCTTTCCTTCTTTGCTATCTCATCAGATTGACAAAAAAAGCTTCTATAGTCTCTGGATGTAGACTTGGGGAAATGAAAGGAGAGATATCAACCACGCTTTATTAATATGGTTCGCCACAAATGAACCACAAGAAGGCTGCTGGGTGATTTTGGTTGGCGTTTCATCGAAAGAAACCAATTTTCAAAGCCTGGTGATGGTAGGGACTGGCAGCTTATACTGACTAATTTGGGTTGTCTTTCCAAGATGAGTTTCATTCGCATTTTTTTTTTTACGAGCTCAGCTTGACCTCTGAAAATTTTCCCCTTCCCGCTCTGGGCACACCTGCTATTGTTAAAACTATATTTCCACAAACTGAAAGTTCATGTTCTATGAATTTTTTATAGGTAATGAACATCTCTAACAGGGGTGGGCAAAGAAGGCATCTCCCCTTCATATTTTGGCCAGTGGAATATCTTCAGATGTTATTGGAAAAGGAGTGGCAGAACTGGGGGCAGAGTTAAAGGATGGATCAGTCTAGAATCCCCTAAGTAATCACAAGCAGCTTAAGTCCAACTTCTGTGGAATTCTCTTGACCCTTATCTAACTCCAAGCAGGTGCTAACCGTTAGTTGAGAAGATTCCTATGCGGGGGGGGGCTGTTCAGCAATAAATCAGTTTAATTGGACCTTCACATGTGGACCTGGTCTTTCACGCCTGACAGATGTTCATTGATATAATTTGTCACCTTCCCAACATAAGAAATGTCCTTCTCTCTTTCAGTTCATGTGAAATGCCTTTCTATGCCCCAAGGCATAGAACACTGAGCAAATTTTAAAAGGACGGGACCACTTCTAATCTCACAAAAGGTTGAATCCAGCCATGATACTATTTGCAAGAGCTGGCATCAAAGGTGAACTAGCAGATATGAAAACTCTCTTTCTTTGCTTTTCCAGGTGCTGCTCCCTACATACACAAAGGATTTAGAATGCATTCCGGGATTTCAGCAAAAGGTTTTTCACGTTGAACATTCGTCCGCATTCACAGTGGGCCAACCAATTCTGAATTGTAAGAAATCTTATTTTCATCTCTCTCCCTCTCTCTCTTTCTCTCTCTCTCTTTCTCTCTCTCTGAGTCTGGGTGTTCCTATCTCATTTGGAATGTCCTTGTAACAAGTGGTCCTCTGTGGTTTCTACTTGCGTTATACTGTAGAGTGACAGCTTTTTAATTTTTAAGAAACGTTTCCTGATTCTGTATGCATGCAAACTTTGACCTTTGCTGTGGCTTTAGCTTTCTGCGTGTCTTGAAATGCTTGTGTACTTAAATGGTTGGCTGAGGTGAATATCAACATGGACTTGGGGAATAAGAATAAGACCTTCACCCTGAGCCACGTAGTCGTTGGAATTCAATTATCTGTTTTCATTTTGGCAATATAGAACCACGGCGGAAGAACTTGATTTAAAGCTGGATGAAATATGGACATATGCTATTTCTTGGGTGCACTGAACTTTGGAGTTTGGCCCCAGATTTTTGCTTTGGAACTGTGATGTTTGTAGTCTGGATGAAGTGGATAGCCAAAGATTCATTTCAATAAGACAGGTGTCAAATTAAAATGTTGGCGCTGATGTACTATGCATTGTAAATTTGGCAGGTTGAGAAGTGGAGACCAAATGGTCCATGAAGCTTTTAACCCTGCTTCATACACTTGAGAGGTTTCATCCAGGTACTACGGAAGTTTGAAAAGGACACTGTGTTTGCTGTTTTGTGAGGGGCTTTTATGGATGAAGAAACTCAAAAAGATCAGAAAAAAAAACCTGGATTTTAAGGATTAGACTTTTTTAACTAGGAAGGTTAGGAGAACCTTCTGTAGAACATCTTACAATGAAAAAGAAGATGTACAAATAGTCCTTGACTTATGACCAGACTTGAGCCCAAAATTTCTGTTGCTAAGCGAGAGCTTTGTCGAGTGAGTTTTGCTTCATTTTACAATCTTTCTTGCCACCGTTGTTAAGCAAATCACTGCAATAGTTAAGTTGGTAACATGGTTGTTCAATGAATCTGACTTCCGCAGATTTGGGATGTTCCAACGGTTATAAGCATAAAAAGTGGTCATAAGTCACCTTTTTTTAGTGTGTCGTTGTAATTTTGAACAGTCACTAATAGTTGTAAGTTGAGGACAACCTATAGTTGGCAGTGACATTTTTTAAAAAAGAAGTTCCCTTTGTTGTAAGTTATGGACTATTAGACATCCGTGAGCCTTAAAAGTGCTGAAGGGTTTGCTAATTGTTGGACCACATTTCTGGCTTGAATTTGTGCCTCATCCCGATTCCTAAACTAATTATTTTTTTTGTTTTTGAGGTGTGTTTTTCAAGCTTTCTGCAACCGTGAGCAGTTGCTAGGGGATGAACAATCTCTCCTCTGACATTTACTCTCCCTGCCTTTCTTAATACGTCATCTCTAGGACTGAAGCAACGGTGCAAAACTTGCTGGATTTTCTATATTCCCCAGTTGATGTGGTGTACAGTTCATATACTCTTAAGGATATTGTTGGTTGCTGGAGCTAAACTCCACTTATTGAGTTTCCAAAGATTGCTTCTTAAGGTGACTTTCCTGTTTCGTACTGGGAGGGGAGGGGAGGGGTGGGCGGGGCCAGCCAGGAGTGGGATTTGGGGGTTCTCTGAACTGCGCAGAATCTTAGCTGGGGGCTCTCCTTAACCCTGCAAGCCCCCAGCAGCCCATCCCTGTATATACCGCTTTACAGTGCTTTACAACCTTCTCTTGGGTTGCTGGTTTCTTCCTTTCCCTGATGCTTTTACCTGGAGAGAAGGAACATGCTGTTTCAGCCACATTTGATTAGGCCATTTGTGATGACCCAGCAGATTGCAATGGAGTGAAACTGGAACAATAATTAAAGCACAGTTATTGATATTAATTTGAGGGAGAAGGGAGGACAAACGGCTGCTCGTTGCCTCGGATTAAGAAATGAAAAGAGACGGAAACAATCATCGTTAGAGAGAACACAAAGTATGCAATTGCCATTTGTTTTCAGCCTTAGAATATTAACCTGTTGATCTGATCAGGTCCCATCAAAGATGTTGCGAAGATTGTGGACATTTGAGGCCCCATCAAGCCCTTATTGGTACATTTATGCACCTGTGTGACTGAAATAACTGTTGCCCTATATTAAGAACAGCGAAACAGTAACTGTGAGAGGGATCTTGGAGTCCCAGTGGACAATCATTTAAACATGAGACAGCCCAAAAAAGCCAACACAGTTCTAGGCTGTGTTGAAACAGAGGGATAGAATCAAGATCACGTGAAGTGTTGATACCACTTTATAAGGCCTTGGTAAGGCCACATTTGGAAGACTGCATCCAGTTTGGGTCGCCACGATATAAAAAAGATGTTGAGACTCTAGAAAGAGTGCAGAGAAGAACAACAAAGATGATTAGGGGACTGGAGGCTAAAACATATAAAGAACGGTTGCTGGAATTGGGTCTGTCTAGTTGGATGAAAAGAAGGACTACAGGAGACATGATAGCAGTCTTCCAATATTTCAGGGGCTGCCACAAAGAAGAGGGAAGTCAAGCTATTCTCCAAAGCACCTGAGGGCAGGACAAGAAGCAATGGGTGGAAAATAATCAAGGAGAGAAGCAACCTAGAACCAAGGAGAAATTTCCTGAGAGTTAGTACAATTAATCAGTGGAACAACTTGCCTCCAGAAGTTGTAGATGTTCCAACACTGGAAGTTTTTAAGATGTTGGATAACCATTTGTCTGAAGTGGTATAGGGTTTCCTGCCTAAGCAGGGGGTTGGACTAGAAGACCTCCAAGGTCCCTTCCAACTCTGTTGTACTATTCTAAAGAATTATATCTGCATTCCCGTATTTATGAATATTTACCGAGCTTGCACTGATACATATAACAACCTCATAAAGCTACCTTACTGTCATTTTGCAAATGGAGGACTGAAGTACAAAAGAGAATAAGCTGAAGACATCAGCTGGAACCAATAACTTTTTAGGTCAATATATATTCCTGTTTATATTCACTAAAAATAAGAGTTCATTGCAATGTATTCATTGCTTCTTAATGCAGCAGTCACGGCCAGTATGCCTGTATTTATTCTTTAATTAAACTTGTATATTGCCAACATCAAGGAAAAACTCACAAGAAACATCCCAATAGCATCATAACCATCATCCATCATTTACCAAGCATTATGATGGTATCCTAGATTAGCTCGAACCCTACTTTTCCTCCATGGAAAAGTAACTAAGGTTAGTCACATGTAGATAACTTGGACAAAAACACCTATTGTTTCTGACCCATTCTTGCCATTGTAAGACCTAGTGGGATTAGGGAGAAGATTAGTAGAAGGATGACATTGTCGAAAGAGAAGGCTATATTAGCTAAGAAGCAGAAATAGAAGCTGGACAGCAGATCTTCTGCAACATCCACGGGTAGATGGTTAGTTGTCTATTTGAGTCTTTTCTTTGTATCTCCTCTCTTCATTGGAAGTGTCAGCGTTTGCAATGGTTGTCAGAATCTTGTCATCAGGGGGCAAAAGTTTCATCAAATGGAAAGCATGTGCTATCAAGCAAGAGCCCAAATTCTCTGGTGATTATTTTTTTCTAGCTTTATTGGGTTTTGGTATCAAGTAGAAGTTCCTATAGTACTGGTTACCTGGAAGTGTGGACCATAAATCAAATTCTCCAGATTGGTTAGAATGTACACTCAATTGCTTGCTGTGGTTGTCTCAGAGTCCCTCACTTCCCTCTCTTCCTCAGTAGAGTCTCTTGGGTGCAAACCAACTCCTGATCCTCTTCCATTGAGTTTTTCAAAAATATTCAATATCAGAATTAATCGCAATAGCACTTAGACTTATATACCACTTCACAGTGCTTTACAGCCCTCTCTAAGTGATTTACAGAGTCAGCCTCTTGTCCCCAACAATCTGGGTCCTCATTTTACCCACCTCGGAAGGATGGAAGGCTGAGTCGACCTTAAGCCGGTCAGAAATGAACTGTCGAATTGCTGGAAGCAGAAATAGCCTGCAATGCAGCAGCATTCTATCTACTGCGCCACCATTAAAGTCTTCTCAAAGGCCTTGCGTTTGGAGAAAAGGTGCATTTCTTCAGCAAATAAGAATTGTGTCCTCCTTTGTCAAGTGATATAATTTTTTGAATCTGGTGGGTAGAGTGAGCAGTCTGATAAAAAATAAAATAAAGGATGGTTCATTGCTGAAATGCCTGCAAATTTAAGATTTTAAGCAGTCTCATCAATATTTTTCTTATTGTCCATTGGACTACCCTGAGAACTTTTTAAAAATATTGCTATTACTCAAGAACAATGTAATTTTTGCAGTTGTCTGCAACCCAATCTGGTTATATAAATCAATGGAACAAATATGCAAACCTAGTTAAACAGAGGTTGCCTTTGGGCTTCTTCAGTAACCCATGTATTTCTAATTCCTGCTGAAAAGTGAAACAAAATTATCATATTTTGCCTAAGTAAAAGTGAAAATCTGTTTCCCCAACCTTGATTATTTAAAAATGTAAGCAGGGTCGTGGTGCATATTCCTTTTCACCCTCCAGCAAATAAATGTAGAGAATATAGAGAGATTTTTCTTCTTCTTCTTCTTACTTATTTACCAGTTAGCTGTAAATGTTCTCTTCATTGTACATGAAATTTGCCAGGGGAACAAAGCAGACAAAAAAAAACCAAAAACCTTTATTTCAATTCAGGCTGGAATATAGTCATTCAATCCAGTCAGCAAATTGTAAATAATTCTTGCTGAGAATTTTTTTTAAAAAAGTGGGGGAATGAGGATGGGATGAGAGTGAGGAAAATAAATATGATTATGTCCACATTAGTGATAGAGAAGATTTAACTTGCATAATTATTATTTTTTTCATTGTCCAAACCAGGGTGGCTGTAGTTTAGGAAATACTTCTATCTCTGTTAAAAAAAAATCTGGATTATTTTTCAGACACCCAGATTAGTGCAAGGTCATTTCCACATACCATGTCATGGACAGAGTACTTGTTGATTATCAGTCCAGAAAAA